ACACTACAGTGTAATTATATTCAGCATTCCCTGAACAAGAAAAGGCCCTCCTGAACCACCTACAACAAAATAAATTCCCATTCTTTACATGAAATGAGTGAACCCTCCTTTTCATTTAAACAATGAGGTTTAGGGTTGCTTTCAGAAAAGCAAACCCAAAAACAAACAAACAAACAAAAAGGAGGTGTCAGTCCAGCCGGCCCAAATTTTATACAGCATTGCAGAAACACCCATAAAAACTGAGTCTGCTGCAAAGATAAACACAGCCATTAAAACCTGGGATAAAAAAACCAACCAACCAAACAAACAAAAACTTACATTTATTTCCAGAGAACACCTATTGGTAAAATTGCTTTTCACCTTTGGACACAATAAAACACGGATCTGGGCTTGGATAAGGCAAGGCTAAAAGACAGCCTTAGAAATTAAATTGTAAGCATACAGTCCTGCCATTCTCGAACTCATTAACCAGTCATTAAGTTTTGTACTTGTGCTGTTCCCATGGGACAATCTCCTGCTTTTCAGAGCAGATATGGATGATGGATACTGGTATAACGGGTTAAAAGTTAAATAGAAAACCTATTATATGAATCTCTTAAGGGCACAGCTGCTCAAAAATTACTTTCAGGAAGGAGAAAACTTCCGAATCAAACCCAACAGTGTATTTTGGGGGAACAAGGTTATCTTCTTCTGTGAGCATGGGTGAAAGAACTGAGCCCCTTGCCATTTCCAGTCACTTGAAACTGCCCAAGCACAGGTACAAAGGGAAACCCACAGCAACTCTTGCAATACACAGCTAATACAAGCTTAGAATTGAACACAATTACAGTGGATTACAGGTATATTTTCCAAACCTTCAATACGCCTCATGCTTGAACAAAAATCACTATAGCCAGAGATTTGAGGGAGAAAAGGGTTTCCAGTTTTCAATAATTACCAACAGAACATTAATTACATGCCTACACATAAAATCCTACTAGTGACTGTTTCACTGTGTAAGGACCTAGTTAGCTGTAATTTTAACACTATGTATCACCCAAAGACAACTCTATTTTCTTAAGTAAGCCTGAAAGCACTGTGAAAAAAGACCTAAACAAACAAACAAACAAAAAAACACACCAAAAAACCTAGAAAAACCACCACAGACAAAATACCTACTTCAGATGGTGTTAAAAAAATGGGAGTTTATAGTCTTACCACTCAAAAAAAAAAAAAAAATCGAATGGGGAAAAAAAGAAAAGGCAATAACAGACAAAACATCTGCTGCAGAATATTCTTTATGCCCTTCAAGCTTCCCCTTAAAGGGTGTGTCTGCACAGGTGGCTGGACACAGGCAGGGTCTGCTCCTCGCCCTCCAAACCGCCCAGACAGGAGCCAAGCTAAATCTTGGAGATTTACACAAAGAAGCATCAGCACAGCACCAAGCCAGCTCCTGAGGCCGCAGGTCCCTCGCTGGTTTGGTCTGGTCCCAGTGGGGCTCCCACGGAGCACGAGGAGGATCCCCCACTCTTCCCCACAGCACACACGTCCCCGCTGACTCCTTGGCGCGTTGAGTCAGACCCAGGAGCTCATCCAGCTGAAAACCAGGCCAGCAGCAACAACGAGAGCAGATCCGCACTGGGCCAGGAGTGACAGCGCCAGCGCCAGCGGGAGGTGGGGAATGCGTAGCCAGAGGTGAGGTGGGAAGGCAGGATTGACCCTTTGGGCCAGAGCCCACATTTGTGGCGAGTCAAAACCACCGCCGAGCATCGCCCCTTGCCTTGCTGACAGGCAAGGTCTGGTTGTCTCCAGCCCAGCTTCACACGGACATCGGTGAAGGGCTCACCTATGTCAGCAGGGAATGCCTTTGTGTAATAGCTGCTTGAGCCAGGGGAGCGAAACACCCTGCAGGTTATCCTTATTTCTACGTACACCTGCTGATGCCTCACTCTTTCTGTGACCCACAGCTGATAATTCAGACAATCTCGTTGGGCAGCACTGCAATACTGAGACTTTAATTTCTCAAGTGTCCTTTGCGGACCAAGGACCGTTAGGGACTAAGAATGCTGTAATTTTTCATAGTAACAACAGGGCAGTAATGCAACAACAGGACAATGCTAATTACCCCCTGCAGCTTTTATTCCCAACATTTTCCTACAAACACAGAAACACAAAGCGACTTAATAAGATCAGCGCCCAGATGAGTCGAGCCTTTGTCAGTGGAGTTTCCTCAACCCCCCTGAGTTACTCTTCACTGCCCTTTGTCTTCTAAGAACTACTCAGATTGTGGCATCACACACACACAAATAATTAAAAAAAGAGGAGCTCTCTTCCCTTGCCAATTTCAAAACGTTTCTCTTTTTCTCCCTTCCCTCTGCCCTCGTTCATGTGATCTGTCCCTTGTATAGGTCAAAATTATTTTCTACTGGGGAAAAAAAAAAAACACAACTTGCAAACTGATTAGAGTTAGGAGCTTCCTAAGTGAAAGGTACAGAAAAAAAAACCATTTTTTTTTTTTCCAATGACACTAACAATGCAGTCTGCTCCTCTGGAGTAAGAATCTACACTCTGCCATGGGATTTGAAATCATCAGTATCCGAGGATTTCTGAAGACATTGGCCACTCATTTATGTTCCTCTACTGCACCATGCAGACCACATGGCAGCTTCTGTGCCCTTGGCCATATTACCAACAGTGCCTGTCACAATCCTTCTGCCCTGTCGTTATCCACGTTCTCCCTGCCAGTACCCCCACACCTTCCCGACCTCCCCCAGCCACCTCCTCCCGAGATCCAGGTCTGTCAGATCTGAACTGACTTTGGGGAAGGCACAGGAAAATTCTCAGTCAAATCTGCCTCCCACAACAGAGCCACACACTTCGTGCCTCTGTTAACAGGCCACTTCCTATTACTCTTCTAGCAGTTGATCTCTAGGTTCTGTTTTTTTTTTTTTTTTCCCAGTTGACACACTATGGGCTTTATTTACTCAGGCTTTTCTTACATGGTCTTCAAGGTATTTTAAAGCTGCACTTCCCCATCACTAATTTAAACAAGCCTTAATAGGGATTAGACTTGAAACCTGAATTGGCAGAACTGAGGAATTTGCAGCTTTGTGATAGTCTCAGATGCATCCTCGAACATCCTCTAAATATAGTATAAGGCTGGCCTAAATCTGCTATTGCTTCATGTTTAATTCAGATACCTTTGAGTGAATGCATCTCTGCCCCCCCCAACTTTCTATTCTCATCACCTATGTATTGAAATTTACAGTTACTTTAGCTTAAACAAACACCCCAAAGCACGGAGGAAATGTTTTAAAACACTGTAGTTATGTAAAAACAAGTTATCACAGGAGAACACAATAGATCTGGAGATTAAAGCACTACATTGCAACAGGGATTTTACAACTTCACTAAGGCAACTATCAGTGCATTATTTAAACTGTGTAGTTTCTTTACAAAGAAGATGAGTACATCAGTAATGAACAGAACTTCCACTTTTCTAGTCAAGAACATTACAGGTAGAGCAGGAAACGATGATGCTTTTGATACAGCAGTGCAAATCAAAACAAACTCCAGTAGCAGATCTCTGAGCTGCCATCAGCTTCTTATCGAGCGAAGATGAAGGTTCCCAGAACACCAGCACACGCAGAAAGTTACACTCTAAACTAACTGCCAAAGCAATGTCAGCTTTGCTATTGAAAGCTTCTCAAAGGCCGTGCGTTTTGTTACATTCTCGGGATCATCTAATATTTCAACTTCACGCTTATTCTAATACAAATCCAAGAGAAACAGGATTGGAGCTGATACGGATTTTAGAACACGTTTTTCTAGCCTAATAACGACCTTCGGAGATACCAGAATCCCAGTCTAAATAAAGATGCAAAACTAGCCTTCTGACTGAATTTACAGTGCAAACTATGTACTTCTGGGTGAAGCAAATCCCATTTAGTTTTAGTGCTTCCCGCTGCAAGACAATGGCCTGTCACTAGTTATTTCTCTACTTAGTTATGCCCTTAAAAGGCTCTGAGGCAAACACCTAAAAGCGAATTGTTCCGAGTAACAACATTACTGCGAAGGGCTGGATAAGACAAGACAAGGTCACGTGTCTCTAGTTTCCAGAGAACCCAGGATATCCTCAGAGGATCCTCTAACAAAATTCGGGATAAATCTCGGTGGTGGGCAGCAGGGGCCATCCAGTCATTCCCCAACCAAGAGACATAAAACAGCACCAAGGCTCAGAGCAAGGAGCCCTCCTCATATCATTAAAACTACTGCTGTCTGATATTACACTTCTTATAAAAACCAAACAAATAAAAAAGCCAAATAAAGGCAAAACCCCCAAACACACAAACAAACAAACAAAAACAAACTAACCAACAACCACCGTGTGGGCCTAAGAGCAGGAAAACAAAAAGGCAAGCCTCCCCTCAAATTAGATCTTCTTTTATTTCATTTATTTATTTTTTTAGCCAGCCCAGCACTGAAGGTTTACCCGGAGCAAACCCTGCCGAGGGCAGGGCGGGAGGCGCTCACCACATCCTGCCCTCACTCACACACGGTCGCGCCCCGGCTCCAACTCTCCCAAATAAAAACCCCTCCAGGGGCACCACCCAGAGCCCATACAGGTCCTTCTGCCCATCCCAGTCCATCCCATCCCAGTCCATCCCAGCCCCGCCGCCCCCGGCCATCCTCCCTCCACACCGTCGCTTCTTCCTCTCCCCCCCCCCACACCATCTTTTTAAAGGTGGCTTTTGGGGTGGTGGTTTTCATTTTATTTTATCTCATCTTTTCGCTTCCCCTCCAGTGTGCCCCAGCGGGTGGTTGTTACCTTCGGTTACCGCTTTTCCCAAACAATTCCCCTTTCCAAACCACTGCCCCTCGCTTTCCCCCACCTCTCCCAGCACCACCACCCCCCCGCCCCAGCACGCAAGCAACTCCCGGCAAATAAGAGGAGGAGGAGGAAAAGAGAAAGAGAACGGGGAAAAAAAAAAAAGAGAATTAAAATAAAATAAAATTATTACCAAACCTCTCTCCTCGCTCTCCGGGTCTGACACTGTGTATCCGGCCGGGGGAGGGAGGGAGGAGGGGAACCGCAGCGCCTGCCCCGCTGCTCCGAGCCCGCACCCGGGGGAGGGTGAGCCGGGAGCCCGGGGGAGGGTGAGCCCGCACCCGGGGGAGGGTGAGCCCAGAGCCCGGGGAGGGTGAGCCCGCACCCGAGGGAGGATGCGCTCCCGGCCGCCCGGCGGTGCGCACCGAGCCTGGCCGGCTCAGCGCCGCGGGTTCTGCGGCGGGAGCCGCCGGGCACAACGAGCGCCCCCGGGGCGGGGGAGAGGGGCCATCCCCGGCAGGATTCGGTCCCCTGCGTGTGTCCGTCCCCCTCCCCTCCCCGCCGCAGGCCGCCCCTCGCTCCCCGGCCCCCGCGGGCGCAGCCCCGCTCGGCCGCTCCCCGGCAGCGGTGCCGCAGGGTGTGCGGGCGGCAGCCCCCGCGGGAACCGGCGGCCGAGAGGACGGCTCCCTCTCTCTCTCTCTCTTTCTCTCCCTTTTCCCCTTCCCCCCCTCCCGCAGCGACTCCCCCCGCTCCTTACCGGGGCTCCTGTGCCGCCTGCGGGCTGCCCGGGGCGCTGGGGGCCGGAGCGAGCGGCAGCGATTCCTCAGCGCCTCCCCGAGCCCCTTCCCTGCCCTCGTCCTCCCCCGCTCCGCCTGCGCCGGCGTGAGCGGCCGGCCGGGAATGCGGGAAGCGCGGCAGGGATGGGCTGGAGCCCCCGCACGCGGCCGGGAGAAGGCCAGGGGAGGAAGGGCGGGGGGGACGGCGCCGAGAGCTCCCAAATCCATCACGGAGGGGCAGGGCGAGTGGTCCCTCGGGCGTCCTCCAAGGTTATTGCACCTCCTTGCCTCCTCAGCTTATGGCAGAATTTACCGCTGCGGTTAAAATGTTCGGGGATAACGTCGTGCACAGAAACGGGAGTTATAGGATCGGCATATTAAGTTAATTACGCAATTTGTCTTAGGAGCATTAGGAAGAAGCCGAGATATGCAGCATACCTACCCTTTCCACAAGTAGTAATTTTCCCCACTCCAGTGATGGAAGATAGACCCTTTACAAAGATCTTTTCAACCCAACATGAGAATCAGCAAGATGTGACACTTTTATATCCCCTTATTATAGTACGTACAGCATGTACCACGTGTACAAGCGTTAATTAGTTTTACAAGGTTGTATTTATTTCATTGCTGCATTATTGTTTTCAGTTTATTAGTGCTGGAAAAAAGCCAGCCCCAGGGAGGTTGGGTAAGATGCCCACTGATGACTGAATTGGTATCGTGGCTGTCAGCAGAACACCCCACACCAAGGGATTAGGTACTACACCCACAGCTGCAGTTCTCCCACCTCTAACTCCCTTCTTATAGGCTACATGTGCCTGCTATTTCCACACAAGACCTCCCTGCCCCTGTTTGCACACCTGGGCAAACGAGTAGTTAAAGGCTAAGACTAGACTGAGTCTCTGAAGCCTTCCCATTTTCACCTCATCCTGCCTGATGTCCTCTCAGTACATGTGCCACTACCCCTGATGTGACACAGGGCATGGGGCTCTAAGACCAAGGTGGACCACAAGAGCCCAAATTGCCCAGGACACAAGATTTACGTGGACCACTCTCTACATTACACCTGTGTAGTTGGAGGAGGGTTATACAGAGCTGTTCAGGGAATTCATCCCACACAAAGGTAGCACCTTGATGTCATAATTTGTATAGATGGAAGAAAAGCTGCTGCCTTATGAAATAACCACGTGCTGTTGCAATGGATTGGAGCCCTCAACAGGAGAGGGGAAGCTCTGGATTCAATTTCATTTTTGCTTTTACAAGAAAAAACAACCTAAAACTTATCTCATGGTTGGACTTGATGATCTTAAGGTCTTTTCCAACCTAAATGATTCTATGATTTTAGCGAAAGAGTTTCAGACTCATTTGCAGGGAAACAAACCAGAGGAAGTGGTTCTATGCAAGGAGGTCCCAACTGTTTGCAGAAAGTGACTGATGCTTGCTGGGGTAATTCATGAGTAAACAGCATTTTGGTTGCCTTTTTCTCAGGCATAGTCTTTAATATAAGGCCTTGACTGGCCAGGCCTCTGCCTAAGCTGAAAAGGTCTTACCTGAAATGCCAGCTGAATGCTTGACACAAAAATGAGGAACAAGAAGACAAAGAAGTGAATTAATAGAATAGTCAGTGTGGGGTGGCTTTGTTCAAAGACCATGATCTTGCAGGTTGAGAAAAAACCCGAGGGAAAGTTTTTGGGAAGCACAGAATGAGAGAGAACTATTGCTAGCATTATCTTTCAGGACAGTGAATAGAGAGCTTGATAAGCATCAGTTCTTGCAGAAACTCTTTCATGAGACATCGTGTGGGAGACAAAGTATATTCAAATCTGCAAACTTATAGGAATTCCATTGTGAAGTTTCAGAAAAGCAGACAGGCTTGAAGAACAGTTCCCAACTAAGAACCAGTTTGGACACCAGTAGCATTTCAGAGGCGGTTCATGACAGCTTCCCAGAAGTCTCTAGAAGAAAATGTTGAGGGGATAATTTGATTAAGAAATAAGAAGAGGTCCATTATAACAGTGCCAACCTGACAAGGCTGCCCTTTGAACCCAGGAACTGATGCTAGCAGTGCAGCTCTCACACGTGTCAAGGGCTGGGGCAAATCTAGAGGCTTCAGCTCAAGAAGCAATAATAATCTATCCAGTCTTGTGGGAGTGCATAGGAAACCAGTGTTACATGCTTTTTTTGGGAGTAAGATGGACGAGGATGAACTGCATGAGAAGAGTGCAGAGTCAAAACGTGCAGTTTGCTCTGAAGAGGACTGCAAGTATTTTGATACACTGGAAAAACATGCTATAGGTGCTCAAAACTCACTCTTGAGCATCAATATTTTTTTTGTTGCTTTTATTTCATTTAATTAAAAGATAAGCTTTCTCTGGCTCCCTCCCAGATGTCAGTGTTCCTCTGAATTCTTGCCAAAGCGAGCCATTCAATATTTGTGAGGTAGTCCGAGCAAAGCAATCATTTTTCCATTAAGCAACCAGAGGGGAAACAAAATATAACAGAAAGCGTGAAAAAAGTAATTAACCTTGGGGTTTCCTCCAGAAATTTCTACCTGTAGCTTTAAAAAGTAGCAGCTTGACCTATGATGTTTTGTGTGGGCTGATGTTGCTCTGTTACTGCTGCCATACAGAAGGGAAACTTGTGAGAGGGGCTGATTTTAGGTAATATAAAATTCTACACTTATCTTTCCATTGTGTTTTGATAACATACTGCTTGTTCAGATGAAGGTTCTGAACCACAGCTAGCAGGATCCCCTGCTCCAAGATGAATAAAGCAGAGTGCAGAGCAGCACAGAGATATTCTAGCTGTCATGAGCAACCTAATGGTGGGTGTAGTCCTATGGGAATAAAGAAAAAAATAATAAAAATCAAATGCAATAACTGTTAAGTTTATTCTAAGCCCTGTGTGATGATGCCAGGAAACCATGTCTGTTTTAAAATAATTTTTACCAGCCACTCACTCCTACCTGTGGCTGCCCAGCTTCAATGATCTGAGGGATTGAATTGCTATTTCTTTTAATTAAGGCTTCTTTAGCAACAAAGTCTTACATGAACACCTCTTATCTCTATGACTCTCAATACACACTTCTTATATACCTGATTTAGCAAGTCAGCTTTCCCTCTAACCTTTTCACCAATATGGTTGTTGCTCTGGATTCGGAAAGAATTTATCTTCTGCAATTTTTATGAGCCCCACAGTTAGTACATGGCCAGTGTGCACATCCCATCAGTTCTCAAGGTGCTGTTAATACCATTTGATTAGGTCAGATTAAAGTTCTGGTTTATGGAGTAACAGACATTTGAAAAGTCATAAAGCAGTCAAACTACAAACAGAATATTGATTGCCAGATATTGCAGTCATGTTTTAAAAGATCATTTTGCTACTGGTATTTATCTTTTTTTTTTTTTTTCCTTATGAGAGGGAGGGAACTAATTAAGTAATGTTGCATTTATTTTCATACTACAAGGAATCCACATTTTGCAATTCCACTTTTTTCCATTAGTTTGTTAGCCTTCAGCCAAGGTACAGGTGAAGATGATTAGGGACTCTGAGAAGAAAATTAAAATTAGGCCTGTGTCCAGTTCTGGGCCCCTCAGTTCAAGAAAGACATTAAGGAGCTGGAGCAAGTCCAGAGAAGGGCAGAGGAGCTGGGGAAGGGTCTGGAGCTCAGGTCTGGTGAGGAGGAGCTGAGGGAGCTGGGGGGGCTCAGCCTGGACAAAAGGAGGCTCAGGGGGGACCTTCTTGCTCTCCACAACTCCCTGACAGGAGGGGGGAGCCAGGTGGGGGTCAGGCTCTGCTCTCACAAGTGACAGGACAAGAGGGAATGACCTCAAGCTGTGGCAGGGGAGGTTCAGGTCGGACATCAGGAAGGATTTCTTCACTGAAAGGGTGGAGGGGGCTGCCCAAGGAGGCGGTGGAGTCCCCACTCCTGGAAGTGATAAAAAACATGCAGCTGTGGTACTTGGAGACGTGGTTTACTGGTGGGCTTGATGATTTTAAAGGTTCTTTCCAAGCCAAATGATTCCACAATTCTGTGATTTGAAAGCAGTTGCCGCTTTTTGCCGATTGGGCGTGAGCACCGAATACCGAAAAACCAGCGGTGAAATGTCACAGTGCTGCGAATAATGAATTAAATACCTCGTGGTTTCAGGTCAAATTAGGCCGAAAAAAAATAATGCTCTTTGCATGTCTGAAGCACCTCACATCTCAAAATGCCAAGCCACTTTGAATTAAGTGATTGATGCCAGACAGAAATAGGCTCCTTGTCACGTGAGCCTTAATCCTGCTTTTTTAACCATAGACCTTACTACGTTTGAGCTGTAGTCTTTTAACTTTTTTAATATGAATCCAAAGGTGGAATTTGGCTATTTCCTGATTGGCTGATCTCTGAACCTGTAAGTCTCCAGGTGACAGACATATGTGAGCAGTTTTCTGCTAAGACATATTTTTTTATTATTTCCCTGAGTTGTTTTGATCTGTATCCAAAACATTGTGATCTGGAAATCAGGTTGATATTGTACAGAAATGTGAGCTGACAACATCCCAGTATTTCCTGTGTTTCTGAGATGAACTGAGCTTCC